CTTAACATTTTAAGACGGCGACATCCGTTCAACATAAGAAGTTATATTCCCGCTAAGTCTCACGGTGGCGAGCTTTCAGTCTGTCGACATGAACTTCAAACGCTCTACGTTACGAAGATCAAGAGCTTAGTATCGTAGATTGGGAAGTGGTTTGAAACGGGTTTGACCAATTAGAGACTTAACATACCGTCTGAAAAGACGGTTAGATGTACGCTAACGTGTTGCTCTTCAAGTCTTTGATGGTACCGTACAGACAAAAACATCCGTACTGTTGTTTTCTCTTCTTTTTTTTGCGGCGAGAACTGAAAAGAATTCGAGTTATAACCTGTTGTGCAAATTGTTGACAGACGAACTATAGTAGCGTGAAGGAAAACGCCTGTCAGATTTGCCTGTATATACCAGCCTGAAAACAGGTCATAAATCCGCGACATGTTGAAACACCGAAGCGTCCGACTGTGTGCGAAGAAATAAATCCAGACATTCCCGCCTTGACACGACCTCGCCTGCGATCACGTCCGCGTTTTCAAGGCGAACATTTCATCCGAAGATGATGGAACGAGATTTAAAGGCACAGCAACTCAACTCTGTCCCATTTTACTCACGCAACACTGCGTGGAGTATATATCCGTACATGATCACCATACATCTTGTCTACTGGCTGCAAGATTTCTTTATAAAATGTGTGCAGGAAATTATGTTATCATGATATTATTTACTTTCTCTTAGCATCATAGTTTAATATATAAATTATGTTTTCTTCCTTCCCCTGAATTTTGGTCATGGTTATTGAGTAAACTTGCCTCTAGGACGGACTTAAAATGCTGTCTATGTAAATAAAATTCTTTAATTTATAAATAATCAATGTAGATTTTAATGAAAATTTATGCACCGGAATTTAAAATTCCCTTGCAATATTCTCAACTTTCTTTAACCATTAAACTGTAGTAGTATAGTGTATACAAATTATATTTTCCTCCCCCTGAATTTTGTCCATGGTAACTTGGCTCTAGTCTAGAACGGACTGAAAACGCTGTCTCTATTTTAGGACGCATAAGGCATAAGATGTTCTATATAGATGGCCAAAAGTCGCGGAGTCCAAACAAGGCGACCGCTCCCTCCCCTGTGTGCAGGCTGACTTCCTTATCAATGCCTGCGGCACACTGGTTCACATAATTCCACTGCCACGGGTCGGCAGCACACACGGAAGTAATGTAGCAGCCTGGATGTTTTCCCGTAGACAGGATTTTGAATGAGGGAGTTCGTCTGAGGGAACAGCGAGCAACATAGGCGAG